TTTTTATCACAAATGGTCCTTCACATTTACGAAATTATCACGAATGGTCCTTGAGGTTTTTTTGTGACACTAATAGTCCTTCACGTTTGGACTTTTTATCACAAATGGTTCCTGCCGTCAGAAATTCTGTTAAGTGTATGATGTGGAAAATAAGTGGAGCCCACATGTCCAATCACATTGTGACATGTGGATTAAATAAATAAAAAAAATATTTTTTAATAATAAAAATCCCTGAAGCCTAGTTAATATCGTGAAAATTTTAAAATTACAAAAAAATTCCGTTGCCGGGACTTGAACCCGGGTCTCTCGGGTGAGAGCCGAGTATCCTGACCAACTAGACTACAACGGATTTAATAATTATAATCAACAAATATTCTATATATACCATTGTACAATGACCATAGCCTTATTTATTAATTCAATTTCGTCCAAAATAAAATTAGTGTTTTATCTCTCATTGATTTCTTTTAGACAATTCTAATTTCTACCAACTTTCTTCCCCAACCTGGGTTGCATTTTCACATTGGAGTCCACAAAAGTTGTAACTTCTAATGGCATTTATAAATTAGTCTAACAAAAAATAAGGGGGTTATTGACCACAAAAAAAGAAAAAAAGGGGGTTTGACCCAAAAAGAATCCTGTTCACTGCTTTTGTGCTAAAATATAATTTCAAGTTGCACTACATTCTCGTGGTTCTTGTAGTTATACAACAAAAAATTTCAAGCGACTCTTCTCCTCTATTTGGGTACATATTCGAATCATGCAACAGTACAAAAATAAACAGTTTCTTTATGCTCCTATCAAGCATGTTACACAAGACTTTCAATTTTTCAGACGGCCATTCTCTTCAAGATGAGACGGAAGGCAGAAGCAAAGAGTGACCCCTATATGTATACAAATACTCATGAATCCTGAATAAATAGGCATTTGAGGTGGATCAGTAACCTAACCAAGTGGATGGTATTGGCTGAAATTTGGTCTTTGCGCAAGCCAACACATCATAGTAATCTACATGATCAAAGCAGTCGCGAAAATCTGTGAAGAGCTTTTCAAACACCCTCCATTGGACTTTGAATGATCTTGAGTAGGGGTATGGAAGAAAAACCTGCTGAATATGAATGAATTAGCAGCAGCTGACCTATACCACATCAAAGAAAATAAACATTTTGCAAGAACAAGATAAACTTGGTCATGTTTGTATGGTGCTTTGTCACAAAAATACAGGTAATTTCTACAGTATCATCCATATTCTCCACCACTAAAACAAAATACTATCAGCCTACACATCCTCTTTAAGTAATTTCATATATCAATTCAGATAGTAAATGTCAGAGAGAAAAGACTGAACTAACGTATGCTCGGTATCTCCACAGTAGTTATAGTGAGTATATTAATTAACAGAAAAGATAGCTTACATCCCCCTCTTGTGCGAGACGTTTAAGTATTTGAAAAGTGTGCTCATTTTCCTCTAAATTGTCAAGAACAGCCAGCCAAATCTGGGAAGCAAGATCATGAGCCATGTCTCTCGATTTACCGCAAGCAATAAACTGATCTGCTAAAACATGCAGTAATGCCAGGTCATGATGTGAAAAGAATTTACAGCCTGGTATTAAATAAACTAAAGTGTGAGCACCAAA